AACTAAGCCTTGTCTGAAGAGGCTGTATAAAGTGCTGCCACAGGATTTCTTAAAAAAATTAAAATAAATAAATTCATTACTTATTTTATCTAGTGCTAAATATTCTGTTTTTATTTTTATATTAATAAGATTAATATATTTTGTTACATAAAATGACTATGTTCCCAGCTTTTTTGATGCAAAAACAGCAACACAAGAGAAAAAAGGACAGGCACACATCCATCTTGCTATCCTTATGAGGACTTCACACACACAGCGCTCACAGCTTCTCTGCTTCATTCTGCTGCTCCCGTTTTTAACACCAGGCAAAAAATGCATTTAAAACATCTGACGTTAACTTTAGATCACAGTTTGAAACGCTCCAGCATTTTTAAAAAGAAAAACAACATGGACACGCTGATTACAGTGCGGGGCAAAGGTGAAAGTAAAACGTGGTGCTGAGCACCCGTTCGGTAAAGAAACTTAAACACAGCTGTTCTTTCTTCCCTCATATTCTGACACAGAGGGTAGAAACAGCTAAATTAGACAGTTAAAACACATTTACAGTTCATAACTCACCCTTGTTGTTGTAACATTCATCCTGTGTTGTCCGCAAGCACTTCCCACCCTGTTGTGGGTCCATTTCCTTGAAAAATGAAACTTAACCAGGCACTTTGAAGAAGCTCTGACGCTGGTAGTCTACGTAGATATAATGTGGGTTTACACACCCCAGAACCGAACATTTTGACTTCTGAACTTGCATATTCGRCATGACGCTATGAACTACAAAAATCACACAGCGAGGAAAAAACTGGCGGACTATGAAATCCAGTTGGCCGGAAATACATTACCATAAATGGTAGTTACGAAGAAAAAAGTGTGACGAAATAAATAATGAAACGAAATAAGCAACAGCAGATTTTGAACAAACTGAAAAATTTGACCCATAAAAAAAATATAAAAATATCTTTGCAGTAACTGGACAGAATAAATTAAAGTTTTCTACACTCCTAGGCTGTGTCCAAAACGGCAGGCCGGATCCTCCGAAGGTCGAATTTGTCGGCCGCATACGTCACAGCGCCGCGA